AAATTAAAACATTCAGTAACAAACGTGTTTTTAAATAACGTCTCTTTGTAAATGTTTTGAACACAAACATTTTATGAAGAGATTTAAAATCTGATGGAGAATTAAATGAAGTAAGAAAACATTTAATGACTCAGTTTAATATGTCACAGGAAGTGATGACATCACTGTGCACATTAACAGGAAGTTATTTAACATTACTTAACTGACGGTTTGTCTCGTCACAGCTTCGTCTCAGCCAATGGGCAGCGTCGGCTCCATGGGAGGCCCCGCCCCTGGCTCCCAGCGCATGTTCCCTCAGAACCAAGGCATGATGGGAATGAATATGGGCCAGGGCGGTGGGCCGGCAGGTGGTGTAGCTCCGCCCTCTGCGGCGAGCCAGCCTGACATGAATCTGTCTTCCTGCGGAGGGGGCGGGGCTGGCGTGGACGTCCAGCAGGTCCTGTACAATAACATGAACCTTCACCCCAACCACCCGGCTCACCCGCCGCAGCAGACCTCCCTGCAGCGTCAGACGCTGGGGCCCATGAGCGCCTCCTACAGACAGAACCTTCTGGCCCAACAGCAGCAGCACCTGAAGACGCAGCCCAACGCCGCCATGCTGAAACAACAGCAGATGGCCGCCGCCGCCGCCCGCATGCCAGGCTCCATGCAGAACAGTATAGGAGCCACCCTGCCCAGCTCGATGCCAGGAAACATGCAGAGCGCACAGAGTTCCGCCTGGCAGCAGCAGCTCGCTAACCAGCCGCCCTCCGGTAACGCTGGCCTGCCCCCCAACGCCTTCAGCAACACGCCCAACGCCTTCCACATGCAGCAGCAACGCATTCCCAAGATGCCACCGGGCGCCGCACCCTTTGGTGCAAACCCCGCAGGTCGTCCAATGGGAGGCCTGAACCCCGGGCAACAGATGATGCAGGCAAATATGGCTGCCCAGCAGAGAGCACCACCCAACCCTCAGAGCTTGGGCCAGCCGATGGCCAATCAGCAGCAGACTCAACAACAGCAGGCCAATCAGAACCAGGCCGTGCTCCCTGACATGGTGGCGTTCGGACAGCAGCAGGGAAACGGCCGTCAGGGACTGCAGTGTAATCAAGGATTCCAGGTGAGCAGGACTGCCAATCAGCAGCAGCAGCAGCAGCAAGTGTCGTTTGGATACAACATGGCGTCGGGGAGCTTCGCTGCAGAGAGCGAGCTGGTGGACTCGCTGCTGAAGGGTCAGAACCCTCAGGAGTGGATGGCCGACCTGGATGAACTGCTCGCCAGCCACCATTAGTCATGCACGCCTGCACCTGGAGCACCTGAACCCTGCTGAGCTGAGGCTGTAGCTGGAAACACGGACGACGAGCCGTCGCCGCCGCTACGATGAGAAAGGACAAATTTCTTTTTTTCAAACCAACAGAAACATCGTTTAGATCCGGAGAAAAAGAGTCTGTGAGTTAGCATTAGCCTAGCCGCCCAGCCACTGAGAAACAGCTGGTGGTCAGCTGATGGCCTTCATCAACTTCCTGTGTTTGACGCCACACTGGCTGTCGTTGGTAAATTAGTTTTGTTCACACACACACACACACACACACACACACACACACACACACACACACACACACACACATACACACACACACACACACACACACGTATGAAGCAGTGACAAATCAATGTTTGGTTTTCCTGCTAGTTGGAGCTGAGTCACTCGTCAGCTGAACACAGGACGTTTATAACAAACGCGAAAAAATTCAAACCAGTTCAGACGCAGTAACGAACCCTGACGTCATCAGGACTGAAACCAGGGTCCATTCACAAATATGACAATTTAACCTGAAACCTCGTTAAAACATTTTCTGACTCGTGTTCTGATCAGTTCTGTGAATGTTTGAACGTTCAGCAAAGACAAGTTTCACTTGAGATGGTTTGTGAGTTAAAGACTCAAATGGAGGAAGATTAGTGATTTAAAAAAGTTTTTCCCAAAGTTTCAGATGAAATGACGTCACTTGAAAATGAAAACGAGCGTCGCCTGGTTTTAATGTTTCAGTTCGACCTTGTCGGAGCTGTTGACCTCTGACTGAAGTCGTGTGTGTGTGTGTGTGTGTGTGTGTGTGTGTATAAATGAATGTTGTGTTACACAGACTGAATTGAGTTAATGACGACTGAACAAACGACTCCACCCCCCCCCACAGCGCCACCTACAGACCACCAGCTCTGATCAGCTTCAGCTCAGTTTATTCTTTTATGAGGAGAAGATCACGTCGCCTCATTTTAAAGAATCATTCCAGAGTTTGTTTGATCAGAAGTTTTTTATTCACAGTTTCTTCCTGAAGTTAAAATCTCAGATCTGTTTCAGTTTGTTCCAAAACTCAAACTTTCCTCTTTTATTTCTGTGGTTTAACTTTTTATCATTTCAGTCTCAAAATTAAAAGTCGACATGATGCTTCAACAATCTGTAAACAAGTTCCCGCCTTTCACACCGTCAGGAAATATCTGCTGCGGATGTTTAAACTTCTGACGATGCCAAACGCTCTTAACGTTACAGTTGACTGATCATCGGTCAGCGGATGATAATGAACAGTGAAGCTGGTGAAATCAACTCGTCTGCTCCCTGCAAACTTTTATTTATTTTAAATTTCCCCGCTGCTCGGAGTCAGAGGAATGAAAATAAAATATACCAACTGTCTCCGAGGAGAAAAACGTGCTCACTTTAAAATAACCATGTGTTTCTGAGTCGCTCGTCAGCTTCTTCTTCTGTGAGCGTCTCGTTAACCTGCGACCTGTGGTCAGCTGACGAACACTCGAGTCCATTCACTCCTTCAGTGTCTCACGTGTGGATCAGGTTTAAATCCAGTTTGTGGTTTAAACTCAGACCAACATGTAATGCTGCGTTCAAGTCCAGTGGGAAAAGTCGACGAGACAAAATGTATTTTACTAAACCGTTGCTGCTTAAATTCAGAACATTTCATTGGTCTTTAAACCACATTCACCTGTGAGTCTAATTTCAGGGCAAAAATCTTCCCAAACGTTTAATCCAGGATTAAAACATCGAGTCCAGATTTCTGTTCTTGATGTTTTAAATTTAAAACTGATTTTTCACAATAGAAACATTTGAATTTCTTTTTTAGTTTCGAATCCTGGGAAGATAAAATCTTCCCTGAATGATTCTCAGAAGGTTTTTCACAGTCAGAACTTGAACGCAGTGTTTCTGAAGAAATCAACATTTAGTCGGATCAGACAAGTTGACGTTATTCAAAGTTGAGTCTTAATGGTTCTCACGAGGGAAATTAGCCACTTTACGTCCAAACTCATCGTTTCTGTTCTGCAGCTGATTATTTATCATCTTTTCAAACATGTAACTGCGACGTCTCGGATCACAGTCGGTTCTGTTTAAGGTMGACTGGTTGTCTGGTTTAAGGTGGACCGGTGACTGGTTGTCTGGTTTAAGGTGGACCGGTGASRYGMTSMTTCTATCTACTGTACTGTTTGACTTTTCAACGAAACGTATGCATCTTGTTTTTGCAGACATGTTGTGTATTTTATTTGTAATGTTATTTTGCTCAACAAAAGCTTGGGGCTGGTTTCACGTTTCCCGACTCTGCCACCGGTTCTTCAGCTTCCAGCCTCGCTCGGCCTCCCGGGGTTTCTGGGTTTAACTGTTGTGTAAATGTCTATAAATATATTTTTTGTATGTAAGCCTTTCCTAATGATCTGGAGATGATAGATGTTATTTTTATATATTGCTGCGGATTTTTGTAAGTATTTTATACTTTTGATATGGTTCTCTGTAAAACAAGAGTATTATGTAAATATAGTTCTTTAGAAACACGTCTGATTTCTGTGTTTACGTTTTTACGTCTGGAGGAAAAGTTCAAATGATCCAACATCCGAGGAGAAGGAAATATCTGTGTATTCATATCTATACACACAAATATATATGATGTACACACAAATATATATGATGTACACACACACACATTATCTACATGTTGAAACTTGTTGAACACGAGCGGATCTGCTCCGGATGAACTTTCAGTTAATGAGTCGGGACATTTGGAAAAAAAAAAAAATCACTTTTGAACTAAATTATATAAATTATAAAAATCATATAAATTATAAATGAAACCACAGTTTGTAACGAGGTGTCACCGACCTGCAGGTGAACAGTGTGGTTGGTCCCCGCCCCCTCAGATGTGAGTCTATAATCACTTCCTGATTTTGTGGAGCTGTGTTTCAGTTCAGAGGAGTTTCAGGTGAGTTGTCTCTCGTCTGTCTCCGTCTCGTCGTCTCTCTGCAGACATGTTGGAAGAGACGCTCCCGCTCGCCACCGTGACTGTGCTGGCTGTTCTAGAGCAAGGTAAGAGATGCATGCTGGGAAATTTGAGATGAGACTCAAATAGTTTACATCTGAAAGTTGAGATTAAGATTCTAATGATTTTATTCTATCAACATGAATGAATGGGTCATTATTATGTTTATTATATTAAATATATTATATGTCAGTCTCAGTGTGAGTTATAAATCTTGAATTCAGAACCAGATGTTTGAATGTAAGATAAGATTTTTTATTCTGATTAATTGTTTTGAGTATTTTCTTGACAGTTCAGTTTTTATCAGTTTATGAATGAACTTTTTTAAGAAAGTATTTTTTACAAACACAGAATGAACTTAGAGCTAAAACATCTTTATCTTCAATAATAATTTGAATGAAGTATAAACTGTGTGTCTGTGATGTGTGTGTGTGTGTGTGTGTGTGTGTGTGTGATGTCTGTGATGTCTGTGATGTGTGTGTGTCTGTGATGTGTGTCTGTGATGTCTGTGATGTCTGTGTGTGTGTGTGTAGCTTATTTCTCTCTGCAGGTGATTAACGCCAGGAGGAAGTTCTCTGTGTCGGCTCCGGCCACGTCCGGTCCACCGGAGTTCGAGAGAGTCTTCAGAGCTCAGTCAGTCTTCGGTTTTATTCAGATGATGAAAGTTTGTTTAAAGCAACAGTGTGAAACTGTTACTGAGCTACAGCGCCCCCTGCAGACACATGTGGTGATGAAGTGTTTTCATTTAAAAACAAAGTGAATCAATGTGCTGAGCTCTGAACGCTGGATATTACCCATGATCCTCTGCTTCCTGAACCACCAAACTGTTCCGAGTTCTTCATGTTTTAAAGTTTCTGCTGAACACTGGAGATAAACTCTGGTTGTTAAGAACTGATCTCAGTTCAGCTTCACTCTTCAGCTGATGGAGACTCTCAGTCACTTGTTCTCTCAGGAGATGAACCCACTCAGCAGAGAGAGAGAACAGACTCAGGGAGCGAAGGAGGAAACGTTCTCCACGTTCTCACTCAGTAAAGTTACAAAGAGAAGAAGAACAAGTGTAAACTTCAGAAATACTCCGATGATCTGTGGGGAAATTATATTTTCTTTATAGGTGTACTACCAAGAGTAGAAATAAATAATTACAATAAGTATAAATACAAGATAAAGGTACAATGTTGTTATCAAACTCTTTTGACTATGAAATTAAACAAGGTTTAACCATAAACTTCATTGTAAATAATAAAGATAAAATCTATAGAACTTGAACTAAGAGAAGAAACATAAATGCATCATATCGGCCAGTAAATCAGGATGTTATATTAAATGATATATTCTATATTATATTCTATAATTATTATTGTTTCCATCCTGAGGGATCAGGTTTAACTGTCAGATGTTTCTGTGTTCAGAACAAACTGCTCCGAGTATTTCCCCATCTTCATCAGTGTCCTGTGGACGGCCGGAGTCTTCTTCAGCCCAGGTGATGTCACACCTGAGACGACAGTCAGCACCTGCACTCCGACAGGTATACTCTGTAACTGTGTGTGTGTGTGTGTGTTGTAGGTCTGTCCTCGGTGTGCGGGCTGCTGTATTTATACGGACGTTTCCGTTACTTTCATGGATATTCTGAGTCGAGTCAGGGACGGTAAGAGACTCCACCTGTTTGAGATGAATCTGAATTTATTTAGGATTTAATAGAAACAAGTTGAAACGTGTCGGAGACAGAAGTTTTGAAGAACTGATGTGAAAACATCTCAGAGTCTGATCCGGTTCGTCTGAAGTCGTTAACTGAGATAAATAAATGAGCAGATGTAATAAGAATAAAGAATAAATATAACTTTATTGTCATTGAACAGGACGTACAATGAACTTATAAATGTTTGTTTTACAAAGTACACATCAGGACTGAAGCTTCCTGTTCAGATTCTGTCTTCACTTCCTGTCTCCGTCAGGCTGGCTCCGCTCTACTTCAGCGCTCATGTTCTCTGGGCTCTGATTGGTCTCTCGTCTCTCGGCATCGTCCTCTCGTTCTTCAGATTTTACCTGGACTTCCAGCTTGGCTCCGCCCTCAACCTGTTCTGAAGGAGCAGCGGGAAAAAGAGAAAACATGGAGGCGCCTGTGATGCTGAAGGTCAAAGGTCAAGAGGAGACGTGTTGTGTTTGATCATATTTTATGTCTTTGGTTCATTTGAATCTTCAGCATGAATAAAAAATCAAAGTTTAAAGAATCAAGTGACTTTGATGAATTTTCTTTTTTAAGTAAATCAGGTGAAAATAGATGATTTTCTGTGTTGATCGTTTTTTCAGCCTCTGGAACACGAGGCTCAACACTGTGTTGGTGACGTTTCAGCAGCAGGTGGCGCTGCAGCAGCAGCAGAGTGTCAGAGGTTCATTTCTTCTTTAATCCTCTTTCACTTTTATTTGTTCACGTGTTTTTAATCCTGATTTTCTGGTTCTGATCAGATTCACTGATCCTGGTTCAGTCCAAGATCCTGGTTTGATTCAATAACAGAAACTTTATTCACACTGAAACTGAAGCAACATCTTTTCCTCAACTGGTCCACAGACCAGACTCTGCATGTGGACCTGGTCTGTAGACGGGACCTGGTCTGTAGATGTGGACCTGGTCTGTAGATGTGGACCTGGTCTGTGGATGTGGACCTGGTCTGTAGATGTGGACCTGGTCTGTGGATGTGGACCTGGTCTGTGAGTGTTGTATTAAAGCAGATTAAAATTATCAGCTCACAGAGAACTGACGGCTATTTATAGAGAAGCTCGGCCTCAGTTTATATTAAGAAACACACACACACACACACACAGACAGACACACACACACACACACACACACACACACAGACAGAGAGACACACACACAGACACAGATATGTACTGTATGCTCTCACACCCGCTCACGCACACACACACACACACACACACACACACACACCCTTTCTTTTATTGCCACACACAAGTCGTTCTATTCATACATGCACAGATCATAAAGACACACACGGACCAGTTCATGTGTGGAATGTGGTTGTGCGTGTATTCTTAGCGTGTATTCTTAGCGTGTTGTCTGACGGCAGCAGTTGTTGTTTCCGGCATCAGAATAAATTTCCATCCAACAGCAGCTGCTTCAGATTCAGATCTTTATCAACAGAAGATGAACTGTTTGTTTAAATCACATAATTAATTTAGTCGTTATTAATTTAACATTTGTTTCATCTTCGTCATTAATCAGTGACTTTGTTTTCAGAGTCGAACTAAACGTCCTCATCTTCGTCACTGAGCCACTTAAGAGCTTTGTGCTGATTGGCTGATGCACCTGTACACAGAGTTAATCTGATCAGATCCACACACACACACACACAGATTAAACGGACAGGAAACAGGTAGATCACCATAGTAACCTGGCGGACGACCAATCAGAGGCCAGGAGGAACCTGAGTCATCGCTCCACAGGACTCGTGTTGCGGTCGAAACGTCGGGACAGTTTCTGGCCTGTAGGGGGCAGGTGTCCTGGACCCTCGTCACCATGGTTACAATAACGAGGTCTGGTTACGTTCAGATTAAATATGTGATCGTTGCTCAGCTGTGAATCCAAATAATACAGAACTTAACACGTGAACATTATTCTGTGAGAGGCCATTAGACAAAGATCAGATTTACTTTGATACAGGTCATGTAGTAATACATATATTAGTAGTAGTACTAGTCGTAGTATTTGTGATCTGTGATGTTATTACTCTTCTTCAGATAATCGGAGATGAACTGGATAAAAACATTTTACTTAAAGTTAGAAACTCTTTCTTGGATTTTACAAAATGTATTTGATTCATGAATCTATCAGTCAACACTGTAAATAAAGTCTGGAACATTAACCCCACCTCCTCCGTGTGAGCTGATGGGACATGGACCAACAAACAAGTTCAAAATAAATAAATGTTCGTCAAAGATGGTTTCTTCCCGTCACTGTTTGTTTACGTGTTACCACAGACTCTGGTCCCGACTGACGACATCACCGCAAGATGGCAGCCGTCTCTTCCAGGATAATTTGGCTTTACTTCTGGATGGTGGGAGGGGCGTGGGGAGGGGCGTGGGCAGGACATTTTTTCGCTGGAACAAATTCAAGCTTTGACTCCACCCACCTTTTGAGACCTCAGACGAACTTAATTAAAAGATCCGCAGCCTTAGCAACAGTAACTAAGGGGTTGTGATATTTGAAGTAAACACATTATATAGAAATGATCTAATAATAAAACAACGTTGTCCACGATGTTTAAAAAAATGTTTTTTAAAGTCATGACGAAGACATGATTGACACAAACATTGAAAATAAATCCCATAGTTCTCGGTGTCTGGACCAATCAGGAGGCAGCTGTGACGAATCAGCTGTTAATGGTTCGCAGCTTCGTCACATCCGGGGACTTGTCTCCATTTAAAGTGTTTAAAACGAGAAACCACGTGGTTTTACTGCAGTTTTAAAACTTCGCAGCTTCTCTCGACTTTACGGTAAAAGTTCAAATCACAGACAATAGATCTTCACTGCGCATGTGTGGCAGGCTGCTGCCTTCAGGTGCTGCGGGGAAATACAAAGATTCTTCTGATTCACGTGTAAAAATGAATGTTTGATGATTATGAACGTTACACTCTGACATTTGAATAATAAAGAAATGTATGAACTGATTTTAATTTGTTATCTTTTGTTTTGTGTCAGGATTCTTCACGTCACGAGCGTCTGTGATTAGTGTTTTCTACACTCCTGGACGACTTGGAACAAAAACCTATAACAACATTACTTTGAATTGCTTCTTCGTTTCCCCTAATGACCAATATAAATGACTTCAGTGTTTTATGAAATTTCTCATGACAAACACCATCATCTGGTTTCAGCTTCACACTGTGAGTATTTATCATTGACATCTTTAGTTTGGATATGTTGACTCTGAGAAGCTCTGATGAACAGTTTTCTGACATTTTATAGATTTAAATCACTGATATTAAGAAACACTCATTAGAATAAAACGATCATTGATCAACTGCACTGAAATGATGTATATTTTAATTAAATGTGATTGTGATACAACAATAACTGAGTGAATTGTCTAAATTAAGTAATTTCTTGATCTTGTGTATTTGTAACTATTCAGTTTATTTCCATTTCCGATTTTCATACAGAACCAAACCGATATGACTTTTCTTTCATTTATTTAATTGCAATAATTACTTTACTATTTTACTCCGCAAATCATTTCACTTCCTTTTTTATTTTCATGTCATTATTTAATTTTAATTTCACCTTTTTGTGACGAACGAACTGAGCGTTCCTGAACGCAGCTTGGAGAAGCCCCGCCCCCTGTTGCAGGCGGCTGTGGCGGTGCGTTCAAGGACTTTTTTTTCTACTTGAAAGTTGTCAACAGAAGAAGAAGTGAAGGAGAGGAAGAGGAAGAGAGAGAGAGAGGAGGAGGTGAAGAAGAAGAAGAAGTGCAGAGAAAGAAAGAGGAGCAGCAGCAGCGGAGAGTGTGAGCAGCTTCCCACCGGAGGAGGAGTGATGGGCTGCGGCCACAGTAAGGTGAGCAGCGGCCTGAGGGGAGCGGGGAGCCGGTGTGTGTCTGTCTGTGTGTGTGTGTCGGGCCTGGAGCCGCTGGAGGTCCCGGAGGTTCAGCGGCTCTCTGAGCAGCAGGAGGCCGACACAGGCTGCTGCTGCTCGGCCTCTGAGCTCGGACCCGTCCGGCCTCATGGAGCTCGTTCTTCTTCTTCTTCACTTTCTAAAGTTGTTCAAGTGGCGCCAAAGAAAAACGCGGTAGTTTTTCTGAACATCTGTTTTTAATCGTGTTTGAACGTTTTCAAGAAAATCTGTGAAATTCATTTCAAATCCTCCAGATGTGAGTCAGAGGACATCCGGGACACTTGTGGATCCTTTCATGTCTTTAATGTGGATTTTATTGTGTTAATGTGACTTTGATCACTTTCTATTGGGACTTTAAAGTGTGTGTGTGTGTGTGTGT